ACTTGAGTCCATCAATGATGCCACCTGGCCAGTCCATCTCGTTAGGGGTCTTCCTCTTTTTCTCTGACCCTTCACCTCACCCAGCATGACATCCTTCTTCAGCGACTGTTCTCTCCGGACAATATGTCCAAAGTATGAGAGACGAAGCTTAGCCATCCTGGCCTCCAAGGAGCACTCTGGCTGCACTTCTTCCAAGACAGATCTATTGGTTCTTTTGGCAGTCCATGGCACTTTCAGTATTCTCCTCCAACACCACAACTCAAAGGCATCAATTCTTCTATGATCTTCCTTATTCACTGTCCAGCTTTCGCATCCATATGAGGTTATTGAAAATACTATGGCTTGGGTCAGGCGCACCTTAGTCCTCAAGCTGACATCTCTGCTCTTCAATACTTCAAAAAGTTCCTGTGCAGCAGATTTGCCCGATGCAATACGTCGTCCGATTGCTTGACTGCTGCTTCCACAAGTGTTGATAGTTGATCCAAGAAGAATGAAGTCCTTGACAACTTCAATCTTTTCTCCATTGATAAGAATGTTGTTTATTGGTCCAGTGGTGAGGATTTTTGTTTTCTTGACATTGAAATGCAATCATACCGAAGGCTGTGCTCTTTGATCTTTATAAGTAAATGTTTCAAGTCCTCTTCACTTTCAGCAAGCAAGGTTGTATCATAGTGACCCTATATAGGGTTTCCGAGTAGCAACTGGTAAGCTTGAACCACCGACCTTGCAGTTCAAACTGACTTTACAGCACCACACCAGGACTCCTGGTCTGTTGTAAGTACTCAGTAAACCTAAGTCTCTCTCTTTGCTCTCCATTTTATTAATAGCTGGAGTCCGGGTGTGGTGCTGTAGGCTAATTGCTAAACTGAAATGTTGGTTTGAACCACAAGGTTAGTGGTTCAAGCTTACCAATCGCTTCTTGGGAACCCTATACCATTTTGCTATGAGTTGGAGCTGACTTGATGGCCCTTAACAACAAACAACATGTCTGCTAAAATGTGTTTGTTTTCTCTTCTTCCATTTCCTCTGTATAACACATTTTATTCTTTTCAGTTCAGTCTCTTTCCTTTAAGTCTTTAAGCTTAGGATAGTTTACCTACAGTAACTATAACTATAATCATTGATGTCACATGCGAGTAAAATTTTG